TGCCCAGGTGGGTCTCGAACCCGCGGGCTCAGGCAATCTACTCATCTCAGCCTCCCAAAGCATGGGATTACAGGCTGAGCCACCGAGCCCGGTGCAATCTTCTTTTTTAAAAAATTTTTTTGAGTCAGGGTCTCACTCTGTCACCCAGGCTGGAGTGCAACAGCACAATCATGGCTCAGAACAGCTTCCAACTTCTAGGCTTAGGCAATCCTCCCACCTCAACCTCTGGAGTAGCCAACACGCCTGGCTAATTCTTTTAATTTATTTTTTTGTAGAGACGAGGTCTCACTGTTGCCGAGGCTGGACTCAAGCAATCCTCTCACTTTGACTTCTCAAAGTGTTGGGATTACAGGGGTGAGCCACTGCACCTGGCCTCGATCATCATTTTAAAAAAGCTTGCCGGCTCGGTGGCTCAGCCTGTAATCCCGTGCTTTGGGAGGCTGAGGGGAGTGGATTGCCTGAGCCGGCGGGTTCGAGACCCACCTGAGCAACTTGGCGAGAACTCATCTCTACAATAAATCAAAAAATTAGCCGGGTATGACAGCTATACTTTCTTTTCTTTCCCCAGTTACCTTGGAGTTTATTTAGATGAAGAGAAAAAGGTCACAATGTCTTCATACAATACATACTTGGTTTTTTGTGCTTTTTTTTAGTTGGAGTCTCACTCTGTTGATCAGGCTAGAGTGCAGTGGCACATGGCCACCCCAGAGTTGACCTGCTGGGCCCTGGTGATCCTTCTGCCTCAGCTTTCCAAGTAGCTGGAACTACAGGTGTGCTCTACCATGTCCAGCTAATTTTTTATTTACTGTAGAGATGAGGTCTCACCAAGTTGCCTGGGCTGGTCTGGAACCCACAGACTCAGGCAATTCACTCGCCGCAGCCTCCCAAAGTGCTGGGATTACAGGCTGAGCCACCAAGTCCAGCCCACACTCGGTTTTTAAAATAATTTTGTGACAAATAGCAGAAGGAATTAAGGACCGCTGCATTTGTGATTCATACAAAACACCATTTTTAGGTTGTACACAATTAAAGAAATATCTCAAACACTTTTTGAAATACTGTAGCAGCCAATACATAGAGGCATACCTTAGGTGGGCATAGGAGTGCAGTATAGAAAAGAAAAAAAAAATCACATAGGAACTACTCAATTTCTTTAAAATCACTGAGAAAGAAAAAAACCACTGATCTTTCATACTGATATTACACAACTTTCTATACAGTGCCTTGACTTAAATCCAAGAGCAAAAGTTAAGACTCTCCTTCTCTGTTTTTGATAAACAACTGCATGTTCAACTTAGATGATGTTTCCCCCTGGATTTTACTTGGGAGTGGCCTTTTAAATTTTTTATTTAAAAGAGGGCAGATTTGGCACTTTTATACTGATGTCACCAATGTTAATATTTCTTGGGATCTCAGGAAGATTCATATTCTTTTTTTTTTTTTTGAGTTGGAGTCTCACTCTGTCGCCCAGACTGGAGTACAGTGGCTGCTCCCAGCCACCGCAACCTCGACCTCCTGTGCTCCGGTGATCCTTCTGCCTCAGCCTTCCAAGTAGCTGGAACTACAGGTGCGTGCTACCATGCCTGGCTAATTTTTTAAAATTTATTGTAGAGATGAGGTCTCACCGAGTTGCCCAGGTGGGTCTCGAACCCACGGGCTCAGGCAATCCACTCATCACAACCTCCCAAAGCGCGGGATTACAGGCTGAGCCACCGAGCCCAGCTAAAGATTCATATTCATTTTTTTTTTTTTTTTTTTTAGTTGGAGTCTCTCTCTGTCACCCAGACTGGAGTGCAGTGGCCGCTCCCGGCCACCGCAGCCTCGACCTGCTGTGCTCCGGCGATCCTTCCGCCTCAGCCTTCCGAGTAGCCGGAATTACTGGCGTGCGCTACCACGCCCGGCTGATTTTTTAATTTACTGTAGAGATGAGGTCTCGCTGCCCAGGCAGGTCTCGAACCCGCGGGCTCAGACAATCCATTCACCTCAGCCTCCCAAAGGCGTGGGATTACAGGCTGAGCCACTGAGCCCGGCTAAGATTCCTATTCTTTACAGCAGTTACAGCACAGGCTAGAGCTCCTGCTAAGCCAGCTTTAGATTTCTCCGGCTTATTTTGTGTATCAATTTGTGCAAAAATCTCATTCATGTTGGTCTCTAATACCATTCCCCTCATCACCATTTCTGCAAGAATACTGTGAATCTTGTCTTCGTGGAAAATCAAATCTAGTACACAGACATTTTCAAAACATTTGTCTAATGTTTCCACAAATACATGCATTAGATCTATTTTATTTTTATTTTTTATTTTATTTTATTTTTTTTGAGTTGGAGTCTCACTCTGTCGCCCAGACTGGAGTGCAGTGGCCGCTCCCAGCCACCGCAGCCTTGACCTGCTGGGCTCCGGCGATCCTTCCGCCTCAGCTTTCCAAGTAGCCGGAATTACAGGTATACGCTACCACGCCCGGCTGATTTTTTGATTTATTGTAGAGATGAGGTCTCACTGCCCAGGTAGGTCTCGAACCCGTGGGCTCAGGCAATCCACTCACCTCAACCTCCCAAAGGCGCGGGATTACAGGCTGAGCCACCGAGCCCGGCTTATTTTTTATTTTTGAGTTGGAGTCTCACTCTATTACCCAGACTGGAGTGCAGTGGCCGCTCCTGGCCACCGCAGCCTCGAACTGCTGGGCTCCGGCGATCCTTCCACCTCAGCCTTCCAAATAGCTGGAACTACAGGTGCATGCTACCACGCCTGGCTGATTTTGATTTATTATAGAGATGAGGTCTCGCCAAGTTCCCCAGGCGGGTCTTTAACCCGCGGGCTCAGGCAATCTACTCACCTTAGCCTCCCAAAGGCGTGGGATTACAGGCTGAGCCACCAAGCCTGGCTATGAATTAGATCTAAAATGCCAAGTTCACTTGCTGAAGAGTCCACACAGAAGACAAAATATAATGTTTTATAATGTCTATAAATCAGTTTGTTGTCAGATCCTCCAATTAATATCCTCCTTCTAGGAAATTATAAACATTTTCATCACATAAGAGCATTAATTTAAATTACTTCCTAATTAACTTAAATTACTACCTGAAGCAGTGTTGTCCAAAACAATAGTCACTCACCGGGCGTGGTGGCTTACACCTGTAATCCCAGCACTTTGGGAGGCAGAGGTGATAGGATTGCCTGAGCTTAGGGATTCGAGACCAGCCTGGGCAACCTGACAAGACCTCATCTCTACAATAAATCAGAGAAATCAGCCAGGCATAGTGGCACTTGCCTGTGGTTCCAGGTACTTGGAAGGCTGAGGCAGAAGGACCACCTGAGTCCAGCAGGTCAAGGTTGCAATGGCCCTGAGCGTGTCACTACACTCCAGCCTGGGTGACAGAGTGACACTGTAATTCAAAAAAATAACAACCAGTAGTCACTAGATAGCTACATGTAGCTATTCACATTGAAATTAATTATAATTAATAACAGGTTTAGTTCCCAGTCAACTAGTAATATTTCAAGTGGTCAACAGCTACAGAAACAGTTTTTGCACACTAGCTTCTTATCAAAACGTAATGTCACATATTAACAATACATAATGGTAATAATAAAATCTTTCAATCACTCATGCTACCTGAAATATACATCCCAAGACAATAACTCAGAATGGAAGAAGATACAAAATAAAAGTTTCATGTCAAAGTATTGTATTTAATTTTTTAATGTTTTTTGAGATAGGGTCCCATTCTGTTGCCCATGCTGGATTGCATATCGGTGCAATCATAGCTCACTGCAGCCCTGAACTCCTGGGCTCTAGTGATCCTCCTGTGTCAATCACATAAGTACCTGGAAACTACAGGTGCACACCACTACATCTGTCTGATTTTTTTTTTAACCTAATTTTTTGTAGAGATGGAATCTCACTAAATTGTTCAGGCTGGTCTCAAACTCCCGGCCTTAATCCTCTCACCTTGGCCTCTCAAAGCACTGGGATCACCGGTACGACCTACCACACCAGCCTGTCAAAGCGATCTGTGATAAGAATTGAGGACAACACAAATGCTTGGCAATACGGAAATGACAGGCCCACACTTGGTTTTTTAAATAACGAGGAACACTAAGCTGTTTTAATGGTGACTACACGCACCTCATCAGCAAAGGCACCCGCATAATGAGTGTCTGCATGCCTAACCCTGAATTGTAGCCCCCAACTTTAAAATAAAAGACATTTTTTTTAAATGGTGACTGTAATACACGGGAATGTTTGGATAAAAAACTTAAGAAAATCAGAGTAAGGTAGCTGTCATTTCTGTGTTCTGTAAAATGCATAAATATATATATGTACCACAAGAAGTGAAACAGTATAGAATAGTTTAAGAATTAAAGGTTTCTTCTATATTTCAAAGTGATATTCTCACATAAGCTCCACATGATAAACAAAAATCTCCTATCTTTAAAACATCCCACAAATGCTAAAAAATTCACTTACGCCCCCCAGGCCACCACTTAATGGAGGTCACAGTAGGACTGTTGAGAATAAATTCTTGGGTCTCAGGGTCATACGTGGCTGTGGTTTCCAAACCTCGAAGATGAGTTCCTAAGGAAATAAATTACATTTACTTCAGATAAAATATGGGGGGAAAGAGGCACAGGGTGAAATTTTCTGCCTAGACCTTTAAGCTCTAGTATTTCAGAGAAAAACAAAATCTAATAAAACATGTGCAGATGAGTTACAAATAGTTGATAACCAAGATACTTAATTTCCTATATTATTTGATAGTATCCTGTTAAGTTAAAAATAAACTAAGTGTTACACATGTTCTGTTTCTATATTTGATTTAGTGTTTGTGCAACATTTATTTAGATCAACCAAAAGAAAATGTAAAGGCAGCTTAGAATCATTTTAATAAGACCACAATATGTGAGTTTTACAGGGAAGCTAATTGTCCTTTAAAATCCATCTCAAAGCTGCAAGCATGCCAATTTCAACTCATATGTTTTGTGTTTACCACACCAATTCCACATTCTGGAATTTTGTACTACTGAGAAGAATAAGATAACAATGTGACAGAAACAACTACAGCTAAAGTTCTTGTAAGGTGGAAATTTACTTCAGAATAATTACTAGAATGAAAGATAAAATGTTAAGAAAGCATAACCATTATGGAGGAAAAAGACCTGGAAAGTGACTTTTTACGTGTGATAAACCTTCCCCTGAGTGGAAGTCAAGAAACCAGACACTTTAGTAGAAGCTTTCACCAGAGTAGAAGCTTTTACAGAAAAAAAAAAAAAGCTAACATATTAAACAGAACAGATAAGGATAAAATGTTTTCAAAAGCACAACTGAACCACATAGTATTCCACTTTGAGTCTTGTGAAAATCCTGTAAAATACTACTCAGCACCAAGTAAAAAGTGGCAGTCGTACAGAAATAAGGAACAGTGGCAAACATACACTAGACCAGTTTTTCTGAAACATCAGAGCAGAAAAAGAGAAGCCAGAAGCAAATGAATGGCAAGCACAGATACTAATACAGAACAGATGATAAGAGGAACAGCCTGGCCTTCAGCCCCATCTAGAGTCACAAAGAAAGGGGGATGGAAAGATAAACAAAAGGTGGAAGACACAAAGTTTGAAACCAACAGCCTGCAAGTATGGCTTGCCTTGATTTTTCCTAATCTCTGGCCAAGCCAATTTCAGGACTTTAACTAGATTTACTCAATCAAGGTACAAATACCTTCAAGGCACAAAATGTTGCACCCTGGTTATAATAAGCTACTCATTTCCCATAAGTAAGTCAAAGAGTCCACATACTCTTAATTTGTATTTCTTCTGGAATTTGTAAAAGTTCATTAAGGTATCAGTAGTAAAGTTAATCAGATAGTAATGAAGAAAAAATATGGCTTCAGATTCTATATGCACACAGATTCTATACAACTTAAAGAAAACTAAAAAAACCACTTGGTAAATAAGACTCGACTTGCCATTCTTGACTTTCTGAAGGGCAACTATGAAAAAAACCAATCATTTTATTAATATCACTACAAAAACATAAACTTTAATTTCCACTGACCAAGCAATGTCGACACCAAAACCCAGACTCTGCAGAAAGAGCTCATTTAACAAATCACAGAACATCACCATGCCATCAACAGCAAGTGGTGGGCACTCCATACATGCTAAGCTCACAGGGGCCCACCCAACCCAGAAGGTAGACTAAATACACCATACCATGACCCATCTCTGTCTGGGCATAAGTGCCAATGATCTCCAAGTTCCAGGCGGGCATGAAGAAACGCTCCTGCTGTTCCGCAGTTGCCTGGTGAAGCAAGGTGGGCAGGAACATGCCCAGATGAAGATCCAGAGGTTCAGGCCGCCCTCGGTGCACAAAACTTCGAAGAAATACCAAGGTTGGGCATTTGAGAGAAGAATCATCAGGTGTGATAGAATCAGCAATTTAAACAGAGCAAGGGAAGGAGACAAAAAAAATCTTAAGTATGAACCGGTTGTGTGTACTTTATCATAGATGGGAGCACTGCCCCTTTCTGTACTTTATAACTCTTGTTAATTTCCATTTTTTCTAGATTGGCAGGGATTGGTTATTGATTCCAAAGCCTATGCAGTGCAAACCATATGTGCAAGGCAGAGGATTCCAACCTAGTAGAATTTGAAAAGACTATAGAATGGAGAATTTGCCAAACTCAGCAGTGTGTGCCTGTTATCCCAGCTAATTAGGAGGCTGAGGCAGGAGGCTCTCTAGAGGCCAGGAGTTCAAGAACAGAGAATTTAGGTGGTACAAGAATTTCCTCTGATGAGAAGGTGAAACAGAAAAATACAACAGTTCTCTCAGAGTGACTTTAGGATCCCCCAGACTAAAGTTTTTCCTAGATACAATCTCAATAATGCTTCTGGGCTGGAATATTTTCTCCTTTGTCTGCAAAACATCCAGCATAGACTCACATTCCTCATATAACCTTGATCATTTCATTCAGATTCATCATGTTAAATATTCAGCCATGGCCTACTGAAAGTTTTTTTTTTTTAGAGTTGGAGTCTCACTCTGTCACTCAGGCTGGAGGGTGATGGCATGCTCCTGGTCACCACAGCCTCGACCTGCTAGGCTCAGGTGATCCTTCCACCTCAGCCTTCCAAGTAGCTGGAACTACAAACAAGTATGTGCCACCAGACCTGGCTAATTTTTTTTTTTTTTTAATAGAGATGAGGTCTTGCCAAGTTGCCCAGGCTGATCTCGAACCCGTGGGCTCAGGAAATCCTCTCACCTCAGCCTTCCAAAGTGCTGGGATTATAGGCGTGAGCTACCATGCCTGACCTACTGAAACAGTTTAATACAAAAATTGACAGTGCTCTTCATCCCAGTAATTTATTTTAGAAATTTAAAAAAAAACATGCAAATTCCAGTGAAGACCATCATAATTACAAGTTAGAGGTTCATGCACAATAGGTTCTCCATTACAATTATATAGAAGTTATCACTAATGATAATAAACATCTAAGCTTTAGTATTTTTAAATCCACTTCTTGGGGTCATTCTTTTCCACTTAAAATCTGCAGGTGCCTTAAACTCCTATGTGAATCTATTTCTAAGGATAGGAAATAGTTGATTATGTTGTTGCATTTTTCCACATTACCAGTATTGTTAACTTCCAGCTACAAATCGATCAACCCCATATTGGTTTTGTTATTCTGTTTGTCTTAGAAATGAACCTAAACAATGTTTCAGTGTTTACAATTCTTATTTTGTTCCATATAAGAAGGAAAATAATCAGGGCACACTGCTCAGACAAGGGTTAATCAATGACTTCTTCCAATCAAGTAGCTGTGCTTTCAGCTAAACAATCACATAAATCAAAGAATGTGTAATTGAATCTCTCATTTTACAGAAGAAATTAAGGCTGCTCTTAAAATAGATAAGTAGGTAAAATAGATAATAGTAAAATAAGGTAACAGCCTCATAACCAAGAGAGCTAACCAATGGGCACACATGAATACAGAGAATGGAATAATAAACATTGGAGACTCTAAAAGGTGGGAGGGAGTGAGGGATGGAAAATCACCTACTGGGTACAATGTTCACTATTTGGATGATGGGTACAGTAAAAGCCTAGACTTCACCACTATGAAATATATCCACGTAACAAATCTGAACTTGTACCCCCACCCCCTAAATCGACAAGGAAAATCGACATCACCTAATCCTGTCTTCTAGTTGAGAAAATTATTGCACAAGCACAGCAGGAGCTAAGAACTATGATGAAGACACTAAAAAGACATGCCAAAAAACCCAGAGCAGAGTTGTCCTTGGGATAATTAAAAGTGGAAACCTTGGAAGCTAACTGGGGTCAGGCTTGGTTAGTACTTGAATGAGAGACAACCTGGGAATTCAAGGTGCTGTAAGCCTTTTTTTTTTTCCTATAGAAAAAAAAAGGTGGAAATCTTACATGTCACCACTGACGAAAACTGGGTGATAGGTTCAGAGGGCCTTTTGGCACACTACTTTTGCAACTTTCTATGGCTCTACAATCATTTCAAAATAATTTAAATCCCAAGAAAAACACATTCATGGGCTAAGAGTGTCTTTCACCCACAAAATGTAATGTCAATTGTCCTCAGCTTTTAAAATACTAGTGTCTAGATGCCAGGCACAGTGACTCATCACACCTGCAATCCCAGCACTTCAGGAGCCTGAGGCAGGAGGAGAGCTTAAGGCCAGGCATTCAATATCTGCCTGAGCAACATAGATAGACCCTACCTCTAAAAAAAATTTTAAACTATCTAGGTGTGGTGGTGCATGCCTGTAGACCCAGCTACTCAGGAGGGTGAAGTGGGAGGACTGCCTGAGCCCAAAAGTTCAGGGCTGCAGTCAGCTATGACTGGGCCACTGTACCCCAACCCCGGCAATAGAACAAGACTGTTCTCAAGAAAAAGGGAGGGAAAAAAAAAAAGACTAGTGTCTAGGAAGAAAAATCAATATGTACCTGAAACCTAAAAGATCTAGAGCTCTGAGTTAGAACTGAAAACTGGCACCAGCCATTTTTAGTGCTTTCATGGAAGCTATTTTGCTTGACTAGACATCAGAGCAGTGACTGATGGAAGAAAGGCCATTACAAGCCGGGCTCGGTGGCTCAGCCTGTAATCCCGCACCTTTGGGAGGCTGAGGTGAGTGGAATGCCGGAGCCCGCTGGCTCGAGACCCGCCTGGGCAACTTGGTGAGACCTCATCTCTACAATAAATCAAAAATTAGCCGAGTGTGGTAGCGTGCGCCTGTAGTTCCAGCTACTTGGAAGGCTGAGGCGGAAGGATCACTGGAGCCCAGTAGGTCGAGGCTGCAGTGGCCAGGAGCGGCCACTGCACTCCAATCTGGGCAACAGAGTGAGACTCCAATTCAAAAAAAAAAAAAAAAAAAAAGAAAGGCCATTACAAAACACCCATTGAACTCATAGAACATTTATATCTGTGTGGTGTACAACAAAACATAGTGGGGCAGAAGGTAAAACTATAACAATCAGAAAGTCTTGAGACTAAAGGATGTTTTCAGGAGAAAAATGTCTCTTGCAACTAAGATAAGGATTCTCAGACGTGGATAGAATTTAGAAATGTTATAAGGAGGCCAGGCGCAGTGGTTCAAGCCTGTAATCCCAGCATTTTGGAAGGCTGAGATGAGAGGACTGCCTGAGTTCAGGGGCTCGGTCAGCCTAGGCAACTTGGTGAGACTTCGTCTCTACAATAAATCAAAAAATAAGCTGGGCATGGTAGCGTGTGCCTGTAATTCCAGCTACTTGGAAGGCTGAGGAGGAAGGATAGCTGGAGCCCAGCAGGTTGAGGCTGCGGTGGCCGTAAACGTGCAACTGCACGTTAGCCTGGGCAACAGAGTGAGACTCTGACTCAAAAAAAAAAAAAAAAAAAAAGAAATGTTACGAGGAAAAAGTGACCTGGATAGTAAAATTATGAAGCACCAACATTATGCTTAGTGAAGCACTTAAAGTTAGTTATTTTAAAACCATAACATCAAAAGTCCTCCCCAATCTCTCTCTTTCCACATGATATAAGGCTAGAAATGCAACCAATACTGACAAAAAATGATTAGGCTAATAATATATGAGAAAGGAAGAAATAAAAATAGCATCTCTGGAAACAGCATTATTATAGTGCTGGGAAATCATCACTGACAAAAAAACACCAGCAATAACAAATGAATTGAGAAAAGACACAGGCTACAAAGAGAAAAAATTAACTGCTTTCTTAGCTGTTAGGATCATTTCAGTGGAAACCTCAGTAAAAAGACAATTTACAAAAGCAACAAAATATTTTATTTTAAATTTGTTAAGTAACTTAGCTCAGGATATTAAATATTTATCTTAAAAATAATAAAAGTTGCCAGGCTCGGTGGCTCAGCCTGTAATCCCGTGCCTTTGGATGATGCTGAGGTGAGTGGATTGCCTGAGCCCGCGGGTTCGAGACCCGCCTGGGCAGCGAGACCTCATCTCTACAATAAATCAAAAAATCAGCCGGGTGTGGTAGTGCATGCCTGTAATTCCGGCTACTTGGAAGGCTGAGGCAGAAGGATCGCCGGAGCCCAGCAGGTGGAGGCTGTGGTGGCCGGGAGCGGCCACTGCACTCCAGTCTAGGCGACAGAGTGAGACTCCAACTCAAAACAACAACAACAACAACAAACAAAAAATAATAATAATAAAAGTTAGCTGGGCTTGGTGGTTCAGCCTGTAATCCCATGCTTTGGGAGGCTGAGGTGAGTGGATTGCCTGAGCCCGTGGGTTCGAGACCCACCTGGGCAACATTGGCAAGACCTCAACTCTACAATAAATCAAAAAATTAGCCGGGCATGGGAGCGCACGTCTGTAGTTCCAGTTATTTGGAAGGCTGAAGCAGAAGGATCACCGGAGCCCAGCAGGTCGAGGCTGCAGTGGCTGGGAGCGGCCACTGCACTCCAGTCTGGGCGACAGAGTGAGACTCCAACTCAAATAAATAAATAAATAAACAAAATAATAAAAGTATTTATTTTAATGAAGCATTAAACATAAACCAAACAAAAACTTTTGAAGAAAATATCAGACAACTGTTCAAGATATGGGAAGGAGAAAATTTTAAAATAAAAATATTTATTCAAAAAGTAAATACCTAATAGTGCAAACAAAATAAGATATGAAAGAAAAGAAATAGCTAATTCCTGGCTGAGAGGACTGAATAAAGACAACATGCAAGAAAATAAAATGAAAGACTTTAAAATAAACTGATTGAAAGTTCCTGTAGAACGTTTTATTAGAACTTGACAAATTGAGATCATAATTCATCTAGAAGAATAAGCGGCTAAGAATAGCAAATACATATCGTGAAATGGGACAATAGTAGGCTTATCCTATCAGATTTAAAAATACCCTACAAAGCAACAAGCCAAAACTTACATTAAAAGAAAAACAAAAAAGAAACAAACACTTCAATTAATACATTTAAGGTTCCAGAAATAAATTTAAACTATTATGAGACTCTAAAAAAACTGGAAAGAACTAATGGGAAAAGAGCCACTAGTTAATGAACGTTAGAAATCTAGGAAACCATATGAGATTCATTCTCATTCCATATGATACACATAAGGTTCACAAACCCACAGAGCAGGCGTGTGTCTTTTTTTTATTTTGAGTTGGAGCCGCACTCTGTCACCCAGCAGGCTTGACCTGCTGGGCTCCGGCGATTGTTCCACCTCAACCTTCCAAGTAGCTGGAACTAGGCATGTGCCACCATGCCCGGCTAATTTTTTTGATTTATTGTAAAGATGAGGTCTCGCCAAGTTGCCCAGGCTGGTCTCAAACCCTTGAACTCAGACCATTCTCTCACCTCGGCCTCCGAGAGTGCTGGGATTACAGGCTGAGCCATCGTGCCTGGTCTGACTTTGAAGATTCTTTTTTTTTTTTTTGAGTTGGAGCCTCACTCCTTTGCCCAGGCTGGAGTGCAGTAATGGCACACATGCTCACAGCCACCCCAGCGTCGACCTGCTGGGCTCTAGCGATCCTTCCGCCTCAGCCTTCTGAGTAACCAGAACTACCAGATGTGCGCTACCACGCCCGGCTATTTTTTATTTTATTGTAGAGACGAGTTCTCACCAAGTTGCCCGGGCTGATCTCACACCCGCAGGCTCAGGCAATCCACTTACCTCAGCCTCCCAAAGTGCTGAGAGCCACTGAGCCCAGCCAATTTTGAAGATTCTTAAGGCACATGAAATGAGCCTGAGCAATACTGAGTCTCTTCACTTCTCAGCAGCTACCTAGAGGTGAAGGAATCCCAAACCCAAAGTCACAGCTAATTCTGTGAGAACACTTTAGATAATCATTGTTGATCAATCAATTTTCCAAAGTCTCAGAATTTAAATAATTAGGCCCCATTCTTATAAGTTGCTCTATTGCCAATCTCCTTGATGTTGAAGGACTTTGTGCGTATTTTTAATAAGGTGATACTGTCACATGATGCAAATAAACTGACAAACCAATTGGCTTTCATGGAAAAAGAAGAGTAGTCAACAAAGAACACCAATATGAATTAACAAAATTATAGCAAGAAACAAGACCTAATGTTATGACACTGTTCTCTAGAGTAAACTATAGAGATTAAGACAAAGTTGGTTAAAATGAAAGAATATATTCAAAGCTAGAAACAATAAGGGAAAGAAAATTCTAACAAAATGCAAACTTTCCTAGAGCAACATGGGATCTTCGTCCTATTTCCGTTCCCTCTCAAACCAGTAAAGTTCAAGTCTTTGTTTCTTCCTTTCTCAAAGTTTTGGGTAAATATGTGTACTTTATAAATACTTTATAAATGGAGGCAGAAGCATTAGACCAGCAAGTTCCATTAGTCTCAGAATACTTCACATATGCATTCTATGACTAGCATGACTATTAAATCAAATTGTACAATAATGAATACTAAAGCAAAAAAAGGGTCTGTACCACAAAGATATTTCAAGATTATAAAACACACACACACACACAAATACACACTCCAAGAGAGAAGGACTACATAAAGAATCTTAACTTGCTTCCCTTAGGAAACCTTTCTTTAGGCTTGTAGTTTCAGTGTTGGTCATTCTGAAGCTCAAGTCTTGGGTGTTTGGAAAGGTGTTTGTAATAATGTCAGACCATAACCAGGACTTGTAGTTCCCATGGAGGTTATAATAAAGAACATTTTCCTTAAACCAATTTACAAATCAAAATCAGCAAATCAAAAACAAAATGAAGTTTCTCTGATATTTGCATACTTTCTTCTTTCACTTTCTTTACTCCTTCCATTTTGATATCTAGATATGAGTTTGGGCAGCTCAAATTCAAAACACTCAAACCTGCCAATGGCCTTGTGTCTGTGAAAACAAACCTGTTTCACAGTAAGATCAAAAGCAAAACTCAGGCACTGAGGAACAATTTAATCAAGAATTGCCAGCAATATAGAGAGTCCCTGGACACATATGGAGAAAATTGTGTAAAAGACTGCTAGAATCAGATGAAGAGATTCCTGGACCATTTCTCAAACTGTCTTATAAACCTGCTAGTGGGCAATGAAAGAGTAAGTCATGTAGCTGCCATCACCCTCTGCTCCCCACTAAAATCTACACCTTTATGGTATCTTTCAGATATTGCTGTGGCATTAATCCTGTGAAGAATTTCCAACAAAACCTTTAACAGACAAGAGTAACATAATTGGGTGTTCCTCTACCCTTTAAACCCCCTTTTTCAAAACTGCTCAGTATCCATTAAAAGGGGGTATATGTAGCAATGATAAAAGGCTTTAGGAAATAACATTGAATGATGTTTATAGGCCAGAGCCCTGAAACTGTTTATGGGGAAATAACTTAGGAGAAAACGAGAAGCTGAATTTTGATTTAACAATTTAAAAATAAAACTCCCAAATCTGTAGCAGCAGAAAAAATTCAAATGCCAGGAGTCACTATTCATTGAAGTCCTGAGGTGCATTACCCACGGACCCTCAAATGTGGACTAACCGTGGCCCATTTCCGTCTGGGCGTAGGTGCCAATTATCTGGAGTCCTTTGGATGAAAGCAGCCATTTCTCTTTCTGAGCAGTGGTGCCCTGATTCAGCAAGGTAGGAATAAACATGGAGTAATTGAGGCCCACAGGTTCCACAAAATTGATCAAATGTAGTCTACAGGAGAGAAAAGAAAAGGGTCTCAGCCTTACTCTAGAAACTGCATTCTACTTCCCATTCCTGCCAAACAGCTTCAGCCTTCAGGACAGAGGTGAGGAAGTTGTAAACCCCTTTCTTATAAAATTAAACACAAAATTTACTATGTTACTACTAAAAAGACATTAGCAGAACCTAATCTCTTCCTCCTTTAATTATTTCAGGGCAGAATTCCTTTTAAGCTTATACTTAATCCAAGAAGCAAATTCCACCCAGGCTTTAAATCTAAAAACTTCTTTCATGTTTGGTTTGGTTTTGTTAGTGTTATTTGCTGGTTTGATTGGCTGGATTTTTTAGTGTGTGTGAGATTTTTGTCTGTTTTCAGATTTTATTTGTGTTTTGTTTTTTTTTTGAGTTGGAGTCTCACTCTGTCGCCCAGACTGGAGTGCAGTAGCCGCTCCCAGCCACCGCAGCCTCGACCTGCTGGGCTCCGGCGATCCTTCCGCTTCAGCCTTCCAAGTAGCCGGAACTATAGGTGCGTGCTACCACGCCCGGCTAGTCTTTGATTTATTGTAGAGATGAAGTCTCGCCAAGTTGCCCAGGTGCTTCTTGAACCCGCGGGCTCAGGCAATCCACTCACCTCAGCCTCCCAAAGGCGTAGGATTACAGGCTGAGCCACCGAGCTCGGCTATCTGTCTGTTTTGAAGATCAAAAGGAATTTCACAGAATACATACAGAACTGTTAACAAAAGCTCCTAAGAAAGAACAATTTGGCCAGCACAGTGGCTCACGCCTGTAATCTCAGCAATTTGGGTGGCAGAGGTAAAAGGACTGCCTGAGCTCACGGGTTCGAGACCAGGTTGGGTAACATGGTGAGACCTGAACTCTACAATAAATCAAAAAATTAGCTGGGCGTGGTGGCACGTGTCTGTAGTTCCAGCTACTTGGAAGGCTGAGGCGGAAGAATCACCTGTGCCCAGGAGGTCGAGGCTGCAGTGGCCATGAGCATGCCACTGCACTCCAGCCTGAGTGATAGAGTGAGACTTGAACTCAAAATAATGATAATAATAAGAATAAGAATAAGAATTTAGCCAGGTTTGGTGGCTCAGCCTGTAATCCCGTGCCTTTGGGAGGCCTGGGCAACTTGGTGAGACCTCATCTCCACAATAAATCAAAAATTAGCCAGGTGTGGTAGTGCACGCCTGTAGTTCCAGCTACTCGGAAGGCTAAGGCGGAAGGATCGCCGGAGCCCAGCAGGTCGGGGCTGCGGTGGCCGGGAGCAGCCACTGCACTCCAGTCTGGGTGACAGAGTGAGACTCCAACTCAAAAAAAAAAAAAATAATAATAATAATTTAAACTGTCTTTCCTAGATAATCTAAGTAAACATCCAGAATAGTAAATATATATTCCAGGACAGAACTATAGCTCTTTAAAGGTTTCAAGGGGTTTACAGATGGGTAAGTAAGTAGGTAATGTGAACACATAAAAATTTATCCCCAATGGTCAATGAACAAACATTACTCCAGATTTAAGAGACTCTATATCACAGTGAAATTCAGTCCTCAACAATCTTCTCACAAAACAGAATTCACACAATAGTCAAAATACAAATTACACACCCTATATAGCCTTGGCTAGACTACATCATAGATTTTATGGGGACCAATTCTGTACTTTGATACAGTATGTATCTAAACATCCTTAAGTACAAAATATATCTCATCTAACTGATCTTCATGATTTCTTAGGAGATGACTAGGAAATGGTATTGCCACCAGTTTATCTTGGCCTGTACAATAAGCAGAGCGTGAATTAGGAAAGAAGGGGTAGGCTGCCACCACATTGTTGGGGGTACCCTGAAACCATCCCATCACCTTAAAAGAACAATAGTAGGCTGGGCGTGGTGTTGGCTCAAGCCTGTAATCCTAGCACTTTGGGAGGCCAAGATGAGAGGATTGCCTGAGCTTGTGGGTTTGAGACCAGCCTGGGCAACATGGTGAAACCTCATCTCAACAATAAAAAAAAAAACTAGCCGGGTTCGGTGGCTCAGCCTGTAATCCCGCGCCTTTGGGAGGCTGAGG